GGTGCCTGTAAGATTGCCCTTGGTCCGTCGTGGCGAACAAACACCTGCTTCGTGGTCGCCAAGTCCTTGAATACAAATGGTCGTCGCTCTCCATGGCGAGTACCTTTGATCGGACGCAAATCATCAAAGTGTTGTTTTAATTCCTTGACAAATTCAGCAGCGCTGTTTGTCTCATCCGGTTGGTGTTGCTTTAAAAATTGTCCTGGCAACCTTAACGTCTCTCCATAGACGATGTCGGCCGCCGTCGCTTGCATGTCCTCCCTCCACGCTGCCCGTATTCCCAATAATACCGTTGGTAGCACCTCTGTCCATCGGTCGTCTCCATGGCATTTGATTGCCGCCTTCAACTGCCGATGGAACCTCTCGACTATGCCGTTGGCCTGTGGGTGGTATGCGGTGGTCTTTAAATGCTTCGTGCCCGTCAACTCGTTCAGTTGCTGAAACAATCGTGATTCAAACTGCCGACCGCGGTCTGTTGTGACCCGGAGCGGCACCCCGAAACGAGCAATCCATCCGCTGTAAAATGCCCTTGCTACCGTTTCTGCTTCTTGGTCTTCTAGAGGGAACACTTCTGGCCATCGCGAAAAACGATCAATGCATGTCAGACAATACCGCTTTCCGTCCGAGCTTGGCATCACAATTATATCTATGTGCACATGCTCGAATCTCCGAGAGGGCGAAGCGAATTCTCCCGTTGGTGCAGTGACGTGTCTTGTAATTTTTACTTTCTGGCACGGTTCGCACGTCCGCGCCCAACTACGGCAATCTTTTTTAATCGACGGCCAAACATAGCGTTGAGCCATGAGTTTGACCGTCGCTCGCATTCCTGGATGCGCCAAGTTGTGTAATCCTTCGAAGGCAGCTCGTCGAAATGGCTTTGTTAAAAAAGGTCGTGGCGTCGATGTTGCCGTGTCACAATAAATCGCGACTCCCGTTCCTGGTATTTCTACTTTTTCTAAGTTTAAATTTCCTTTCTTGTGAATGTACTCTTTTATTTCTTTGTCATCCTCCTGCGATGCTGCCAATGTCGCGTAGTCCATTGGAGACTGGAGTTCCTCGATCCTGGATAAGGCGTCCGCCACCAGGTTCTCCTCGCCAGCCACGTGTCTAATATCCGTCGTGAACTGCCCGATGAAATCTAGGTGTCGGAACTGGCGCGGCGTACATTTCTCTGGCTTCTGACGAAACGCAAACACAAGTGGTTTGTGGTCCGTGAATATCGCGAATTTCCGCGCTTCCACCAAATGCCGAAAGTATTTGGTAGCCAGGTATATTGCCAACAGCTCTCGATCGAACGCGCTATATTTACTCTCTGCCGGGCTTAACTTCTTTGAAAAAAATGCTAACGGCTCCCAGCCGTCTCCGTTCCGCTGTTGTAACGCTGCTTCAACGCTACGATCAGACGCGTCTGTAAACAAGGCTAGCTCCTCGCCGGTCTTCGGGTGCGCCAACAAGGCCGCCTGCATCAGGCTCTCCTTTGACGCCTCGAACGCCTGTTCCGCCTGCAGCGTCCAACTTACCGGTGCCTTGCCCTTCGCGCTACCCTGAAGGAGATCGTTTAGCGGTGCCAACGTCTCCGCGGCCCCTGGCAAGAACCTCCGATAAAAATTCAGCATCCCCAGGTACCGTCGCAAGTCTTTAACTGTCTTTGGAATCGGATATTCACGAATCGCCCGCACGCGCTCCGGCAACGGTCGCGTTCCTGCACCAGTCACCAGGTACCCGAGAAATTCAACCTCCGACTCCCCGAATACGCACTTTGCCGGGTTGATTACGACTCCATATGTTTGTAACCGTTCGAACAGAATCCGTAAGTGTCCGAGATGTTCTTCTGCTGAAGACGACGCGACGAGGATGTCATCGATGTACGCGAAACAAAACTCGAGGCCGCGCAGTACCTCGTCGACAAAACGCTGAAATGTCTGTGCCGCGTTACGCAATCCGAACGACATAAAGGGAAATTCGAACATTCCGAACGGCGTGGTAATCGCGGTCTTCGGAATGTCTGCCTCCGCTACCGGGATTTGGTGGTATGCCCGCACTAAGTCGATCTTCGTAAATATTTTTTTCCCTTGCAGCGCTTGAGCGAAATCTTGAATGTGTCGCACGGGGTAACAATCCGGGATCGTTCGTGCGTTCAACGCGCGGTAATCGCCGCAAGGTCGCCACTCCTCGTTCTTTTTCTGCACCAAGTGCAAGGGCGACGCCCAACTGCCTCTTGAAGGTCTCGCGATTCCGGCCTCCATCATCTTTTCGAACTCCTTTTTTGCTATTTTTGAACGCTCCGGTGCCAACCTTCGTGGCTTGCATACTACGGGCGGTCCGGGAGTCGTCTCGATGTAATGCTTCGTGTCGTGCTTTATTTCGCTTGGTCGTCCTTCTGGCCTGGTAATCTCCGGATAACGCGTCAACAACTCGTGGTACGGCGTTGCTCCGTTGACCGTTTTCACGCTGGGTATATTGCATTGCGCGCAACGTCCGGCTGCCGTTACATTCGTCAACTGATCCACCAATCGATTATTTTTTAGATCTACCAGTATGCCGTAATGTGCTAAAAAATCCGCTCCGATGATGGGCTTCGTTACGTCTGCGATTACGAAACGCCATGTAAATGATCGTCGCAATCCGAGATTTAAAATGAACGTTTCCGTTCCGTAGGTATGTATAATCGTTTCATTTGCGGCCGATAATTCATACGTCGACCTTTGTCGTGGTCCTCGGACCATCTTTCGCGGGTAGACACACAGATCCGCTCCCGTGTCGACCAGGAAGCTCACCCTGGTGCTCCTATCGACGACGAAAAGGCGACGCGTTGAATGCCCTGTGTCGTCCGTCGCCGCTAACGAAGGGCTGGCGTGTTTTCCGCTTGCTGCATCGAGCAAGGCGGTTCACACCGTGTTGCCTCGGTCCCGAATCGCCAGTGGTAATAACACGGTCCTCCTGGCGCGTGTCCGCGATTCCGCGAGCGGGAGCGCGGACGCGAACGCGAGCGCCAGGCACGCTCGCCGCGATCTCGGCCGCGGTCCCGGCCGCGCCCCACGTCGCGAATCGACTCGATAGACGTCCGGATAGCCGATAACTGCTCCGCCATCTCCTGCTGCAACGCCAATCGCAGCTGCGCAATTTGTATATTTATTTTTGCCTCGATTGAGCTTGCATCCTCAGTAACCGCTCGCGACGTCGAAAATCGCGCACTTTCTGCGACCTGAAAAGCCGGCGCCCGGGTAGCCTCCACAATCGCGTCCGCGATGTCCGCCAATTGGTCTACGGTGTCCTCCGCGCGCGTCACCAAGTGCGGCTGTATATATGCGGGCAATCGGGACAACCAGATCGTACGCAGCACTTTGTCTCCGACTACATTTCCGGCTAATCCTCGGAGATGACGCAAAAATTGAGACGGTTTTCTGTCTCCAATTTCCTCGTGTTCTAACAGTCTACGCGTTTTGTGTTCTTGCGATAAACTAAGGCGTTTAATGAGCTCTGTTTTAAGAGTCTCATACGCACGCTCCGCGGGCGGGTTCATTATTATATCGCGCACCTCCATCGTATAACGCGGACCGATCGCCGTCAACGCGTATCCAAATTTTGTCGCATCGACCGTGATACCGGCGGCCAAGAAACTCCGGTCCACGATGCTGAACCAGAGCTCCGGATCCGCGGGAGTAAACTCGGGCATTCGCATGCCCACGCGGCTCACCTCTGCACCAGGTACGAAAAGATTCGGCTGCAACTCCGTTCTTGTCTGCAGTCCTGACGCTGCCGGTTGCTGCGCCCATTCGCGTCTTTGCCGCTCCAACTCGCGCCTTTCTTGTTCGAGTTGCTGGCGTTGTTTCTCCAGTTGTATCCGTTGCTGTTCCACCGTCTGAGCTGGGGCTTCTTCGTCATGTGTGATCACCATCGCTTCTCCGTTCATCCTCACGTTCGCACTCACGTACTCTCAATCTTCGCTGTCCCTGTCCGTGAATGGATTTCGGAGTTCGTCTGTTACTGTCACTTTGTCACCTCCACTCGCGTACACGTCGGATAGTCACCACTTTTAGTTACCCGTTTTAGTATCTTATTGTCCCGCGAATGCGCTTAATATTCATAAAAGAGCGCAAGTTTAATGAAAGGACGTGAGAATGGAAGAGGTTGTCCAAACAATATATATCATTTATACTCAGACTAAAATCAGTATATTAATCGAATTTTTGGTTACAAGCGCGGGTCGCTACTTCACTATTCGCTTACAATCTTCTGCTCATGGAATAATATATATTTCCGTCTCTCGGTATACACTGCGCTATATAAAGAGATACGACTACTCTGAAACACGTCAGCTGAGCGACTATCCCTTTGTCAAATTTTAACGCTTGCTCCTGTCCGTCGCGTCTTTCTCGCAATTTCTATTTATTGTCAATATTTTTCGTGTAACCTATCGGTCGTCGTCGTTATATTTACAATACGAAATTATATATTTCTAATTACAATATAATGAAAGATAATCATTTCTAATTACGTTTCTCTTATCAAATCATATACAGATTTAATAAAAATATGATGCAGAAAGTATATTGCGGAAAAATAATCTATGTAATATCTCTAGCTCAGATTTCTTCAGCCTTGATTTCTTGTTTTCGCCTCATATTGCTAAACCGGTGAAAAGAAACGGTCGCAAGAAGTTTGTGGATTTAAAGGCTCTCTGTGTTTATTCGCGTCAGCTGTTTCTCGTTATATAGGTCAAGTATATGTTCGTATACCTGAATGCCTCTACCTATTCTAATTTAATGCACTATTATGTTTCCAAGGCTGATAGTGGTGACTTGGTCACCACAGTGATATTCGTAATCAGAAAAGGCTCCTGAAGGCTCGTACAGAGCTATTTTTTTGTAAAAAGGCATAACAAAAGTATTTCTGTCACGCCTGTCGACCCTTAAGTTTACATTAACAAGTCTATATAATTATATTAACAAACACATATAATTTGTCCACTTGTCGTTAACTAATCTAATAAAAAATTTCTATCGCAAGACAACTCTTAATCGTTTTTATTATTCAGTTTTACAAGCTGGATCTGGTACAGCATTCCATAAAGAATGGCTTCCTTCACCCTTTTTCATCGCGATAGTCTTTACAATCTCTTGCGACGGTTGCTTGAGATCATACGCCCACCCGATTTTTGCAAAAAAATTGATGAAATTTGTGGTTATGGAATTGTGAAACAACTCGGAAGCCTTATAGTCCCATGGAAAGACATGATGGTAATTGTGCCATCCTTCACCATGAGTAACAAGGCTGACCCATCGGTTCTCCGTTGGATTTATGTGCCTGGCAGTTAAAAAATAAAATAAAAAATTCTTGTTAATACAAAATGATAAAAATTTCTTAAAATATTTTTATTAACTTTATATGTAAACACTTTTAATATTAATTATCTTACGCATCATACGGCTTTGAACCCCAAATATGAGCCGCACTGTTGACGCTCCATGTAAAATTTAAAATGAGTACATAACGAATAATCTGCGATGCGAAAGCTCTGTACCAAGTCTCATTCCATCCATACACAGGTAACATTATCGGAAGCAGAAAAGCAAATGTAAATTTTAATATCGAGAAATATCTGCAAAATATCATAAATGAATTACGATATATAATTTTCATTACAGTTCATTATAGTATATATGTATAATATATACATATATACTATATATATATATTACATAAAAAAATTTTCGTAAAAAGCTTTCTATAATAAAATTGAGAAAGAAATTGAAATAATAAATACACTTTTGAGATGAATCAAATCCTTTCTTTTAATTTCTTTTGTCTTCTCCAGTATAAAACCATTTCGCATAATTAATTTTTTGCACTTACTTGATACTAAATACAGCAATAGGATCAGCCAATATATCGCTCATGTCAATTTGACGACCCTTTTCAATCACATCTGAATGTTTCTTCATCATCAACCAACCAACATGGGAAAAAAAGAATCCTCGGTTACTATTGTGCGGATCTGCATTCGTATCCGTGTATTTGTGATGTATTCGATGATCTCGTACCCATTGATAAATGTTATTCTATGTGAAAAGATTTAATTAAAAAGAAAAATTTTTCCGCCATACAATGTATAAAATAATAATTATAACCGTTCGTCTACCATGCCTGCTGAAACATAGAAAATAGCAAGTATAGTTCTAAGCTGCCATTTTGCCTTATAAGCTTTGTGAGTCCATAAACGATGAACACCAGCAGTGGTGCCTATTCCTGTCATAGAACCCATAACATACCCTTGAAACAAAAAGGATCGATGCAGTTAAATGACATCATATGTTTTAAAATCGTTTATAATAAGTTAAACCGTATTTTTTTTTAAGAGCACCGTGTAAGTAACATTGTTTTTGTGACAATTCACTATATAGTAATTTATAACACAGTTGATATTAGTACAATGGAAATGAGAAATTTTTAACAGCTATTTACAGATCTATTCTGTTAAGCTTGTACTACGTGTCTTTTCGCGTAAATCTAATCAATTGACTTTCAATCAGCTGTCGTTAATGTTAGAAATCGTTAAAAACAACTTTTTGTATTTTTTATAAACACGCAATACAATTTTAATCAAATTGTTATAGCAGATTAAATTTTACTTTTTTATTATGTAATCTTTTGTAAGAAATCAAGAAATTAAATTAACGAAAGAATATTTTAGAGAATACTTACACCAAGTTGTCGTTAACAGATTTTCGAAAAAGTTAAAAGTAAAACAGGCATATACGAAGTATAAGTGGAGAAAACTAAAAAGTAAGATGTTAAACCATTTCAGCTCTGTCATAAACCAGCTTTTCGTATAGCTCTTGCTTCTGTTTTGTTTGTCATTTTTATTATCTAGCGTCTTTGTAGTAATCGAAGGTTTTTCATTTTGTGTATTTTCCTCCATAAGTATTTTTGAATATGTGCTTGAAATATTTGGTGCCATATTTTCAGATTACTGAATCGAGAATCCAGAAAATTTGCTTCACGCTGTTAACAATTATATAGCAGGCTGTCATTTTTGATCTTCAAATCAATAATTGACGAATAAATTTGTTATTCATACACTATAAAAAATAAAATGTTAATTTTAACTCAAAGACGTTGAGTGAATTTTTTGAAACATGCAAAAATGTTAAAATTAACATTCTTTTAACGTCTTTGAGTTAAAATTAACATTTCATTTTTTACAATGTACAAAATGAAGAAGACACATTGTTATTCTAATTAATGAAACGCAGTATCCAAAATAATTTGTTCTCCAATATTCGGAAATTTTTTAAGGGTGTATTCTATTCGTCCAAACTGCTCAAACGACGTTCATACTTATAATATAACTGATATTTTTTAAATTAAAATATAATTACTTTTATTTAATGAATTAGTTATTGTAGCAGTTATCCTTAAATTACCAGTATAGCAATTATATTATTAATAATATTGAGAGAAGGCTCGACAAAAAATAGTATATAAAAATTAATACAGTGTAACGGGCAACGAGTCAAAATAAAAGCAATTAAATTTAAGAGAAACAAAGACATTATATTAAATGAACAATAAACAAGTAGAACAAATGTTTCGACACTGATCGGGTCATTCTGAATGTTAACAAATTTTAGATTTTAATAATGGAATTTTTACAAAAGATTCTTGTATGTTATATTATAAATTTGGATGCTTGAACCATAGAAGTAAATCATAATCGTTAGGTAAAAATTATGGTTGTCTATTATGTAAAATGTATTTGTTAGTCAAAGGTTACACAAACAATATTATCTAAAAAGTATCGCAGTACAATAAAAAAATTAATGTCAAACTGGCCGCACATATGTATGTAATATTATATAATTTTTTATACTCTTTAAAAATAATATAAAATATCGTCATTAAGAATTATGATTAAAATAAAAATAAATTACCTTGTGAAAAGAAGAAGTATTGTAAGTCTCAACTGGAGCAAATTGCAAAGGATGAAGAAACGATGTTTATAATATCAAGTACCGCAACACAATAGTGAAAAAGGAAATCGTAAGTGAGATATAAACTGGAAGGAAAATGTAGAACAACTAGGAAGGGGAAAGAGACCGTATTATATTAGAATATGATTCTAGCAGAGAATAGCATTAATAAAATTAGCCAAGTAAAAACGTGGATAGCACAACCGAATTATCTTGTCAACGAATCCATAAATAACGCTTTTTTTATGATAGATAGGATGTTGTGAATTGAAATTTAGGAATCTCCCAAAAAAGGTTGCCTTACGGTATCCGTCAAAAATAAGTCTGTTGTCTTCAATAATTAATACCGTATCTAAGAAACTATAATCTTACTATCCGTACCAACCTACACTGTAAACTGTAATCTGGTATGCTCGGAATTAAAAATTGTTAATATATCATTGACAGACTCAGAAGGAGCAGCTAAAATAATATCAACATATCGGAAATAAAAAGGCAAACGGACCGGCAACATGTCAACGGCAATTTCTTCTAAATCCTGCATTACAATATCAGATACTATTGGAGAGAGAGGGGATCCCATTGGGGTCCCAAAAATTTGTTTTTAATTTTTAATTAAAAATGAAATAAGTGCAATTTGACACCATACGAAAAGCTATCATAAACTCAAATGGGATTAAAGTTTAAAAATCTGTATAAATGTTGCGGAACTAAATTAAATTTAATACTATGTTTTATAACTCGCTAATACGGACTTTAATGTTAACGCTCAACTTAATTAAACCATAAAATTTCTTTAAATATGCGCAGGATTCTTTTTTTTAGTTCCTCGTCGGAGGGGAAAATCTTCGCTTCGCCCCTGCCAATCTGACGCCCCGGGTCCGACTCGTGTTAAGAGACACTTCTCCAGGTACGTCGTCATGGCAGGGGAAGACACCCAGAGCCCGAGTTCACCTGGGTGTGTTGGATTCGGGCGACCAGGGATGCAGCTTCCGATTCCACTAACATCAACCGGTAGCCCGCCTACCAACTAAAAACCCCCCCCACTACCAAGCCTATTCTGTTAAAGGCGAATGAGAAGGAGACCCGGCACCGCTTTAATTCAGCATCTCATCAGGTCTCCCCCTCGCCCTTGAGATCGCAATCTCCTTCTCTATTGTTCTCGGAACTTTGTCACCTATAATTGCGACACTCCCATCCACTCATCGTGTTCGTCCATTTTTCGTCCGGTCAAGAACCTCCATCATACACTTCGTTCCCGCCGCTCCACCTGCTCAACCCGCTCGCCACCTTGCGTTCCCCTCTCGTCCACCATACAGCCATCCTCCTCTCCTCGCTATCTCTCTCTCCTCCATATGTCTCTCTCTCTCATCCCATTCCTTGATGCACACTACCGTTTCGCAGAAGTTGGAGAATATCCTCCAGCCCTCTTTCGATTCAATCGCCCGATGCAGGACGACGCCCATTGAAAATCCCCGCCAGAGTGCTCCATCAGTGGTCTTCTTAGCTCCTCCCATCTCCCACACTCCCTAAACGTATGGTCCGCCGTGTCCTCATCAGCTCCACAGTACACACATTTTGCTGTCTCTATCTTCCCTATTTCATGTAGGTAATACTGAAATACTCCGTTCCCCGTTACCATTTGAGTCATTCTGTATATGATGTCTCCCCCTCCCCATCCGATTCATTCTAGGAGCAGCCTGCTTGAGTAACTTACCCGGGATCCCATCAGGTCCTGGGACCTTCCTATTCGATATTCCTTTTGCTGCGATCTCAAGTTCTTCTTCTCCCACTTCCATTTGCACGCTCTATCCTCCTTCCTCCGGGAGGGGCGCTTCACAGGCTTTCTCTATTCTAGGGAATAGCTCCTGTACTATTTCCCTCACCTTCTCTGGTAATATTATTTCCACAACCGACCGTGTACGCGGTTTCAATTTCAACATTACAATTCTATAGGGCCTGCCCCACGGATCATCCTCCAGCGTCTTCAGTAATTCACTCAACACTGCTCCTTGGCTCTATATATCTGCTTTCTCATTATCTTTCTGCAGTTCTTCAGTTCCTTTCATAATTCCATTGTTTTCTCTCTTCGTCTCTTCTTAGCACGTATTAATCTCCTTCTTATTCTATTACATCCCTGTTCGTCTTTATTTCTTCGTTCCACCAATAAACAGGGTGTTCATTATGGCTCTTTCCTACTCTTTTCATCGCCGCGTCTGCCGCTCTTTTAAGTGCTTTGTCAATCCATCTCAACCTCTCCTCTCCTCCCGCATCTTCCCCCGGATATTCGCACCACTTGCAGGCCTCTATAGAAGCCCCCATCATGTCCCGTTCAAAATTCGTGGTATTCCACCTTGGGAAGCCTTCCGCTCTATCCATCCCTCTTGAATCAATCCTTCCTTTCATCTCAATGATTATCCCTTATGTGTGGTGTGGAGGTCGCTGTCCGCGTCCCAGTTCATGTCCCGTTCAAAATTCGTGATATTCCACCTTGGGAAGCCTTCCGCTCTATCCATCCCTCTTGAATCAATCCTTCCTTTCATCTCAATGATTATCCCCTTATGTGTAGTGTAGAGGTCGCTGTCCGCGTCCACTCTCCAACTCACTACCCTGTTCCTAGTCGCCCAGGCTGTGTCCACCGACGATGAACCCCTTACGTTCACATTCGTCACTCTCCTTTTTTCGTTTAGTAGACACATGTCTTCTGCCGCGGCCCAGTCCGCCAACCTTTCAGGATGCAGTCCCATGGAGCGTATCGCTGATTACGCGAAAATCTGATCAATTTTTGATACGCAGTTTTTGATACGCGAGAGTTTTGTCCCTAAGGTTCCATGGAGCGGAATTCGCGTAAGCATATTAGGCGGATAGCCAATCATGAAAAGATTTTCATTACTTTCCTTTATCTGCCTTCATCTAAACAGTTGTTTGATTGGTAAACCGCCGATTCCGTATACGCTAATTCCGCTTCATGGGACCATAGGAACGAAATTACCGCGTATCGAAAACAGCGGAACAAAATTGACTTCTGCGTACGAATAACTGGGACCGTAGAAAAAAAGAGGACAGCCGCAAAAAGTAATCCTATTGTGTAACTAGATTGTATTAAATATTAATTTATTTAATATAATTAAATTAAAAGTTCGCAATGGTTTAACAGGTGCAGAATGAAATCAAAAACAATATTTGCTTTCCATTTACTCCGATTCTCAAATAATTCGCACTTGTGACGTCATAACTCAGTTGAATGCGCGTTCCTTTTGCATTCTGAGAAGTGAGATTCAACTAAGTTTTTACCTACAAACTGCACAAGATCAAGACCGTGTGCTTTATTGAGTCTCGTAGACTCACTTTAAAAGTGAGGTTTTAAACCTGAGTTGTTATTTGTTAATTTTACTAAAATAAGCAAGTAGTGACGACATTATTCTGAGTATTTTGTACTCAGCTCACTTCAGACTCAGTTTCACTTGTTTGTAAATGGAAAGCAACTAAAAATGATGCAACACTCAACGCAATCTTGCGATTCTACGAGCATTACACATTTCGAGGCCATGCCACTACTTTTTCAGACCAAGCAATTTCACTTATATTCGGCGCGTATTATAATGAATTCGGCGGAACGGCGGTGTATCGAAAATAGCGGAACGTCATAGGTTGGTCAGATTTTCGATACGCGCGATACGCTCCATGGGACTGCACCCTCACCCCTCGAGTTGCCCACTCCCATAGCATGCCTCACATTAAAGTCCCCGCATACTATTACCGGCCTACTTCTATATTTTTTGAGCAATGAACTCATAGTTATGTATAGGTCAAATTCGTACAGCTTTTTATTCGGTGAAAAGTATATCCCTATGAGAATTATCTCTCCGCATAACACTACCACATAATCCAGTCCTGTCTCCATAAGCAACGTCTTCGACCCCTCCCTCGCGGTTTTACTCCATTTCACTGCCACCGATCTCGCGTCAGTAGAGATCGCGTTGACCGTCGCCACCTTGGATCTGATATTATCGCTACATAAATTTTATTTTTTTCCATATATTTCGACGTGAGGTTATGGTCCGTCCGAGAAGCCCCAAGATTCACCTGTAGCACTCTAATTTTCTACCATCTCGACGGTAACCAGCTCCCGATCCGTCGTTCCCCTCGTTCCTCCGTCCCGCGATTCCTGCCTCATTTGTCCTCCCATCACTATTGGACATGGAGGGTTCCCCGGTCTATGTTTATGTTTCCTTCCCGAATCCAAACATATCGGGCACCTAGTTGCCTCTCTGCACCTCCCCAGTCGTGTGCCCTACCAGTCCGCAGTTGAAGCAAGCCCCCGTACGATCAACCTCGCTAGGACAAAACATTCTAGTGTGTCCCGCAGCCAAACATCTATAACACTTAGGCGGTCTCCTGTCCATCAATACGGCTCTCGCTGACGACCATCCAATTCTTATTCTACCCGTGTCCGCCAATTCAATGGCTGCCTCCAGCGGGCATCTTATCCACGTGCTGACCGTGCAATCTCTTGCCCAGATCTTTCTGCCTACTTTAACCTCACCAGGTTCAACCCCATTGCTCCTTACTATTGCGTTTATTATTTCCTTTGCATTTAGCGATTCGTCCAGCCCTATCAATCTTACCTCTCCCATTGGGGAGGGGCAAAATATTTTAACTTTTGGCTCCTTGGCAAATATCTCCTTCATTTTATCCGCCAGCAAACACGGCTGTCACTTCAATATCTTTTTACTTAAACATAATATTTAAACAAAATGATGAATCTTCGTAGCGGCATATTTATTAAACTAATTTGAAAAAAAGTTGTACAATATAAATGAGAAAAAATATTTTAGCTGTATTTTAACAATATAATAGTGTTCATAAAAATGCACAGTTACCTCTAAATTATAATATAGAAATATTGTAATATGCAGTACTACACACAATATTAAATATAATTACAGTGGGTTGCCAAAATATTAGGAGCAGTGCGATTTTTCTATTAATTTTGATTTTGAAAGTGCCTCTTAATGAAATTCGTGAAGTATTTTTATTTTGAATGCCTATTCTGGTTATTCTATCTTATTTGTAAGTTCTATGTAAAACCTGGCAATATTGACATAAAAATAACAGAAAAATTGCACTGTCCCTAACATTTTGATAACCCACTGTAAATTAAGAATTTCAAACAACTTTTGGGATGCGTATAAACAGATCTATCGAAAATATTCATTGAGTATTTCAAATTAATCAGATAACATGTTCTTCAGTCGAAGATTTGTTTCTTTAATCATGTCGAAACATGATGTATCACATTATCCAATTGATACACATAGCGTTAACGATCAGTCTCATGAATCGATGTCACACGTTTTTTTCAACGTTAAATTTAATTTCTTACACATGTTTTCGTTATATAAATTTGTAATCCGATGTAATTTTAACTAGCATTATACCAATGAAAAAAATATATATATATAGATTTAATATAATTAAATATAAATTTTATTAAAATTTCATATAATACTTATTAACAATTCCAATAATTACGGTTTTATTAAAACCTTATATAGATTTAATTTGGATCATATAATGATCCATATTAAGTTATTAATTCAACTTATTAAGACCTTAATAAAACTTATTAAAACTTGTTAAGACCATATTAAAACATATTAATTCAACTTATTTAAAACTAATTAAGATTTAATTAAATATATATGAATTGGACATTAATAAGATTTAATAAGGACTTATTAAACTTAAATAAGTTTAACACGTTAAATAGGGCGAATAAGAGTCAAAATACAATTTGAAATCTAAATCTGATAATTTATTTTAATATTATATATTGCGAAGAATATCACGTAATTTTTGGCGTTTCGTCCCGGCTACTGGACTCATCAGTAAGGTATTGTAGTGGAAGCCTACCTTATACGCCTTGGTAAGTTATTAAATCGAGATTTTATATAAAGAGATATACGCGTGTCTTAGCACTTGCGAGAATTTACGAATATCGATAGACCTCTGATGGCGAGTCGACGTAGTGATATTCTTCGCAATATTTCTCCAAAGTAGGAAATAACGTTCTATTAATATATATAGTCCCCCCAAAATTGCGCGCCGAACAATTGTCGGACTTGCAACGCAACTCTAATAATCTGATTTATAAATGTCCCCTCTCCCTAATTTTTGCGCGCCGAAAGGATTTCGGTCTTGCAACGCAACTCTAATCATCTGAAATATCCTCCCCCCCCCCTCTAAATATTTGCGCGCCAAAGGATTTTCGGTCTTGAAACGCAACTATAAATGCTAAATCTAGAAACTGTTAATTTAACTTAATGAAAAGACTTACAATGTATTATCCGCATTGTTACAGCCTGCGGTTTGAAAACAAATGAATTGAAGATTTGAAGGACTCTTTTATTTAATAATAATTAACACGTTAAATAGGGCGAATAAGAGTCAAATTACAATTTGAAATCTAAATCTGATAATTTATTCTAATATTATATATTACGAAGAATATCACGTAATTTTTGGTGTTTCATCCCGGCTTCCACTACTGGACTCATCAGTAAGGCATTGTAGTGGAAGCCTACCTTATGCAAAAATTAGGGAGAGGGGACATTTATAAATCAGATTATTAGAGTTGCGTTGCAAGTCCGACAATTGTTCGGCGCGCAATTTTGGGGGGACTATATATATTAATAGAATGTTATTTCCTACTTTGGAGAAATATTGCGAAGAATATCACTACGTCGACTCGCCATCAGAGGTCTATCGATATTCGTAAATTCTCGCAAGTGCTAAGACACGCGTATATCTCTTTATATAGAATCTCGATTTAATAACTTACCAAGGCGTATAAGGTAGGCTTCCACTACAATACCTTACTGATGAGTCCAGTAGTGGAAGCCGGGACGAAACGCCAAAAATTACGTGATATTCTTCGCAATATATAATATTAGAATAAATTATCAGATTTAGATTTCAAATTGTAATTTGACTCTTATTCGCCCTATTTAACGTTAATTATTATTAAATAAAAGAGTCATTCAAATCTTCAATTCATCTGTTAAATAAGTTTATAATATAAACTATATTAAAAATACATATTTATTTATAAGGTTATATAAAGACTTTATAAATTCTTTATATGAATTTTGATGAATCTTTATAAAGAACTTATAAGACTTTTATTTAGAATATATAAATTTTTTTTTAGCGGGTATCCTTGCTTCAACAATTATAAAAAATGATGCCAATTTTACTTTATACGGGCACAATTATGTAATTTCCTTTTTTTCTTATATCTTTTTTTGTCTTTTCCAGCATGTATTTTACATAATAATTTTTTGCACAAACTTACTTGATTTGGAATGCAACAATAGGATCGAGTCAATACATCGCTCATATCTACCTGACGACCTCTTCGAATCACATCTGGGTGCTTTTTCATCATCAGCCAACCGACATAAGAGAAAAAGAACCCTCGGTTACTATTACATGGATCCGCATCCGGATCCGTATACTTGTGGTGTACCCGATGATTTCGCACCCATTCGTGAATGTTGTTCTGAAAGGATTTAATTAAAAAAAAATTCTTCTATCTGCATAAAAAAAGTAAAATTATAAATGTTGGTCTACCATGCCAGCCGAAGTATAGAAAACAGCAAATATAGCTCTAATAAGCTGCCATTTTGCCTTATAAGTTTGGTGAGTCCACAAACGGTGAGCACCGGCAGTGATACCAATTCCTCCTATTACAAACGTGCAATATACTTGAAACAAAAAAGATGGATATAATTAAACAACAATAAAAGCTTTAATATTATTCATAATAACTTAATCCGTATTTCTTATGAGAGAATCATGTAAATAGATTTTATTAAAAATGCGGCATATTTGACAATTTATAATAACTTATAATACAATTGATATTTAAACATAACGGACTTTAAGACTAATGAAAATTATATAATATAAAAAAAGAGCATAAAGCTGATATACCAATTCTTGATGCAAATTTAATAATTATAACATTTATTTATGACTAATACAACAATATAATATAAAATATAAATAATACAACCTTTATTAGGTCATTCTTAGTATTTGAAATTATCACATTAAGAACATATTCAAAATTATATTTGAAACTGAGTTGCATTGATTTCTAAACATAATATTTGGTTAAATTATACTTTGTTTAAAAATTAACACGATTTATTTTTTAATATAATTTTATTTATGTACTAAACAATAATTTTAAATATCAAGAATGACCTAGTAAAGGTCAAAACGTTTATATTTTATAATTATTGAATTAGCATTGTCTTTTATGCTCCTTTTTACATTATACAATCAATATTATACAAAAAAATTAGAAGTCTAATAAAACAACTTTTTATCAACCGTTAAGCTTGTATTATTTGTTCAAGTAATTGACCGTTGTTCATATTAGAAATTGTAAAACCGTGATATTTTTTTTATTAATATACATTACAATTTTAATCAAATTAAATATACCGACGAGAATAAGTAATTTACAGTCAAGCTGGATCTTGGATATTTTTAATATAATTATTGTGTGAATTTATATACTACGTATGTAGATCCTAAATGCGCGCCGAAATTTTTTTCAGACTTACTATGCAAACTAACAATTTTGATGCTCATAGCATCTTAATAATAATATGTTAAATGACATATTAAAATCTATGAATGACAATATTAAAAATCTGTAAATAATGTAATTAACGTTGCGAAAAATATTAACTCGGCCTGGAGTCAAATCCGGATCGCTTGCTTTACGCGCAAGTCCTAGCTCAATTTAACTCGTTATAGTACTGCACTAGTTTATTAGTTTGCATTGTAAGTCTGAAAAAAATTTCGGCGCGCATTTAGAATCTACATACGTATTATATAAATTCACTCGATAATTATATTAGAAGCATCCAAGATTCAGGTTGACCGTAAATGGCTTATTCTCATCGATATTTAATTTGAAACTCTCACGGTCCAAATAAGACTTCATATTATTGAATTTTAATCAAATTACGTTTGGATTTATCTTTATAAAAAGATTGTAAGAAATGATTAATGCATTGATGATTTAAATTTTATCTTTTTATTATGTAGTTTCTTTAGAATGTCAAGGAATCAAATTAAAAAAAGAATTTTTTAAAGAATACTTACTCCAAGTTGTCGTCAGCAGATTTTCGAAAAAGTTAAAAGTAAAACAGGCATATAAGTATAAGTGGAGAAAACTATGATCTAAGATGTTAAACCATTTCAGCTCTGTCTTGAACCAGCCTTCAGTTTTTGTATAGTTTTCATCTCTATTTTGTATGTTATTTTCATTATCTATCATCTTATTGTTAGTAATCGAAAATTTCTCACTTTGTAAATCTATTTTCGTAAGTATTTTTGAATCTGTGCTTAAAATATTTGGAGTCATCTTTATTTTCGGATTTCTAAACCAAAAATCCAAAAATCAGCTTCACACTATAAATACATTTTCCTTTGTTATTTTTGTTCTTTAAATGAACAATTGAAATAAATAATAATAAAACAAAGTTGTCGATGTCAAAACAGTATAAGGATAAAGTTAAGGGCAAATCCGAGAGTCGTCGATAAATAGAATTAATAAAAAATTTTTACATTTGAAAAATTAAAATATAATTAAAACAAAATTAAACTGCATATATACATAACATGTTTCGGCTCCTGTTTTGAGTCTTTTTTAAATGTATAAGATATATCTATTGTATTCGTAGTGACAGTAAAATTATAAATGTATTCTTGTGCTACTGATGAGTGACTCACCGGGAGAACAAATTCGCTGACAAAAGATTAGCAAATCAATTGTTGACAAAATCGATAATATGGTGTGATGAAACGTGGTATAATAAATTTAAATGTAATGAACAAATTTGTTATCTCAATGAATAACTTATCTAGTCAACACTCAAAATGTGTTTCTCATAATATCATGTTTAAAATTTATATTAAATAATAAAATGCACATTAGAGTAATGTAACAAAAAATCAAATAATAATCAGTCGCGGTGTGAGTTGATGAAGTTATTATAAGTTTAATCGTATCATCAACTTTTAAAAATTCGATGATGATAAAAAACTTAGTCACAATTCAAGAAGTCGAAAAACATAACTACCTACAAAGTCAAAAATTAAGAACTACACCAACCGACAACGACTGAGCAATATTAGAGTAATATTAGAATATTAATGTTCTTGGTACCGCAAAGCCACATATTGTTTATAATCGATATATATCCTTTGTGAAGGCCTATTTGTTTGGAAATTAAGGCTGTTACTTTGTCTCTTAATATTCAACATCTCCGAAATTAATCTTTTGTCATAGCAAGGTTGTTCATCTAGAATTTTTACATTGTTCCATTAAAAATCATGATCGAATTTTAATCTATGATGACAGATCGGGCGGACGTATTTCACCTTGATGATTTAGATATTCTGATATTCTTATTTTTAATTGAAAGTATAAAGAAACTACAGTCTAAATCGGGCGTGCAACGTATGCATCACAATCTTTGCACATGATTTTGAAATAATTACGTTACTTTTGATAAATGGGGACGAGGATCTTTTTAAATCTTGATATATTTTTGTAATTTATTTATACTGCGGAAAGCAACTCTGACATTATTAAATCAATTGAATTTTTTTGTATATGACGGTATATAAGGAACCACAAACTAAAAACGAAAGACAGTATCATTATCACTGGCAGATGAATTCAGCAATTTAATTTTCTTTGACCTAGGTCTAGGATATTGATTCTTTTATTAATAGTGTCAAAAAAATCAAATTAAGAGGATAATCATTTTCTAATAAAATGTTAATAATTATTTTTAATAAATTTTTTGTGTGATATTCATGTTTAGACAATAAAATAGCCTCTATCAGCTAGTGAAATGATTGTACCTCTTTTTTTGTGAAATCGGGTTATTAAAAAGGAAATTAAAAAATCTATCTGAAAAACTCGGCTTGTGATATCAATCAAAATCAATTGTTCATTTTTTATTATAATTGTCACGTCTAAGAAGTTCAATGTGCTGCCGCCCACTTCCAAGGTAAATTAAAGGCGAGGATAAAGTAGCCGAAACATGTTATGTATGCAGTTTGAATTTGTTTTAATTATATTTTAATTTTTTAAATGTAAAAATTTTTTCTTAAGTTTATTTACCACGACTCTCGAACAATTGAAAATTAAATTTGTCAATATAAATTGTATATAAAAGGACTCCCAAGCTCAACAAAAATATGAAGAAATACAGGATTATGAGAGTCTGACGCGATAATTAGTGCGCAGATTCAATTTTCCAATAAATAAAATTTAATCAATTATTAGTTAGTCTTAAGAGTTTTACAATATTCTGCTCGTAAATTTCACTGAGACAATTGCCTCGGTAGTCTAAAGACTTAGGACACTCACACAGAATAAAAGAGGTAGTTCGACTTCCGGCCGAGGTAATATTTTTTGTTATGAGAATTAATTATTTAGAGTTTCATATGTTATTCAACATTATTAAGATCGATCTAAGATGTGTAAAAGAGCATCAAAAATTGTTAAATTGTTAATGAAGGGTATAGCCGGGTAAGATTTTAATGAGCTTGAAATATGTTATAAATATCAATGAGACAATTTGAAAATAAAAATTCGAAATTTTTTTTCCCATAAAAATTTCAGAAAAATAAGTTTTTAAATTTTCAAAATTTTTTTTTTGGTTTTTTTTATGGGCGACACCCGCCATTTTTTTTACTATTTACTCTCTGAAGTGTATATTTTGAGAAAAAAATTTTTGCCAATTTTTTTTGAAGTGCGTGATAGTGAAAAAAAATAAAAACCGTAACTGGGTATAATATGACGCCTTAATTAAAAACATTCGGTCGTAAGCGTTTGAAAAATGTTATTCGGGGCATTTTTAGATTGTTCATTATAAATCTAAAGTAGAATTTCGAAAATTAAAAATGGCGTATCCAACATGGCGGAAAATTTTAGATGTACTATATTTAAAAATACATATAATAAATCGTTTGCAGTTAGTCCATAAAAATTATAGTTTCCAGAGTTTACCACGTGGAGGTTGCAGTACGTTTTTAAACTCCTTTTTCATTTTTTTAAATATTTATTTTTTGAATTTTTTTTGGTTTTTAATTTTTTGTATATTTTTTATGTTTATTTGCTTTTAATTTAAATAATAAATTAGTTTGCGTTTCGATTCTTTTTTACTTGGTAAAGATTCATTCTAATCTTCGTTACTGTCTTCATCGATGTCTTCACTGCTGTGATTTGAGTTTTTAAAAATATATCGGTCAAAATTTGAGCTGGTTTAGGAATTCTGGATAAATACCTAGCACGTGATAGGTAATATACAATTGCCGCAATGTGCGAACAGCAACCAACAGTCCTTCTACCATTAGCACACTCACACGCATGGTCTTTTATACAAGAAACTCCAATAGTGTCAGGTGCGTATCTTATAATACACCTGTATGATGTGCGAGAAATGTGTCGTGATTGCACTTTGACTTTTATAACATTTGGTTCTTCCTTTGCATACTCCATGTTTAATTTACCTTCACCATTTCCGCTAAATAGGATACTGCCTGAGAAAGCTGATACGATCCAGTAAAAAAAGTAATTAAATCTCTCTCTGTCATTTCTGGAAAATCTGGAAGTTCATCAGAGGTAATCTGTTTAAACAGAGTTTTTCGTCGGAACCAGCCTTTCTCTTCTGCCTCCATAGCTAATGTATTTTGCACATTTTTTTTACTGTGCATTATCCCCAATATATCATCTGCGAATTCCACGTCAGATTGCAACCTTTTACCAAACTTATTATTAATAAATGCTGCAATTTTGAAAAACATTCCCACTTTCGGTAACAATTTATTGTCGATTTTGTGATCTAAAGAACGATATTTCTGCTTTAACACTCCGTGAACAGCTTCTACTACCCAACGATTTTTAGTCACAAAACGAGATTGATTCGATTCTTCTGTTGTCAGTTGCTTTCTCTTCCCTTTTAAAGCGGGCAATCATTACTTGAAAATTCTTATCTTCCAAATATTTGTGTACATCCCGTAATCCACGATCAAGTATAAATATATCACCTGGTTTCAAAAATGTACATAGTCCTTCTGGATCATCGATAATAGTTTTCATTATCTCTGCATCATTTTGAGTAGCTATGATAGGGCCCAAGCATATCTATGACAAACCCATCAGTTGTGCAGATAGTAAAAGGCCTGGAAAGGGGAACTTTTTTTTGTCCAGAATATGACTTCCTTTGATATTCATTATTGGTACTTTTTTGATGTCGCGCATACGTACCATCACAAATCAAAAATTACTTATCTGTAATATTGAATAATCGTTTGGCAATATCAGTTGTATGGGTTTTAATTAGATCATCCCTATCCATCGACATTATACCAAATCGACCTGGTAAGATGTCTTTTTCAAAAGATTGAATTACGGAGGAACAATAATCGGAAATTATCGACTCATTTTCTATATTCAATATAGAGGCTAGAAGTTTGTTTGAGCTTCCTGTTCGCAATTTAAAGAAAAAAACGACGAGAGCTTGGATTATTGATCTAGATTGAGTGTTACGCAGATAAGTCATCATGTCTTTTAACTCAAGAAGATTTTCCCATGATAAACCAGTAAAGACTTGAATTTGTTGTTCTGAAATGCTGAATTCTCCGATTTTATCATACAATGTTGAATCGCATTTTATAGTCAGAGTTTTCATGACTTTTGATAACTCAGACGCGCTGAGACTAGTTGTGTTGGAGTACGCTTTCAAAAGATTCAAATCATCTTCATAAATTCGATTTCTAATAAGTTGCGTTTTACAACATCTGTTTCCTGCTGGAATAAATATTTTCTTTTTAATATAACACTGCATTCGTGCTTCTTCAGGAATTATAGTTATATTCTTGACAGAAGAGCATAAACAGCAATATTTATGTGTAGCAACTGTTCTCTGTATATCAATATCAATCAATTTATTTTCCGATTCATCGTCACTGTTATTTAATTTTAATGCAACCTCAAAAGTCGGATCGCTAGATGTTGATTCCAAAAGGTTATCAGCAACGGCATCAATATTTTCGGCAGACTCTTTTTCTCTATAAATTTTAATCCGACACTTACCGCAAAGAATATTGTTTACAATTAGTGTCCGATTAAGGCATGAAGAATATTCTTTCGCTTCATGTTCATTATTTATTAACTTTTTCTTACCTCTAATTTTTCTTAAGATTCTATCACAGCCATCACATGTAAGCATTTTCTGTAAATCATTGTCAGCCATGGTTAAGTACTAAGTCAATTACTTTAAAAAATGCTTAGTAAAGACAGCTTAGAAAGTACAACGTAGAACAATTAGAGAAAAAAAATTTTAG